TTTCAAAATTATGAGTCTTATAATATTAATTTGAACATATGAATATTATAACAAAAAAGGTTAAATCCTGCCATCAAAAGTAATGAAAATTTTTTTATCAGGTATATTTTTAGAATTTATACCACAGCTTTTTCAAATCAAAACAAAAAATGAGAGTAAATGCGAATCTTTTCTCGCTACAGAGCATTTAGCTTTTTGCACTGTAAATACGTCGTACACATAAACAAATTTTTAAGGTTTTTCCTCCAATATCTTTTATTCAAATAACTTATGGGAGCAAAAAACAAACTTATTTCATCTTGAATAAACACATTTAAATTTTGTGAGCGGAAAAAAATGTCAAATTACTAGTACTCCGCATTGAACAATTATTTGACCATTCTGCACTCAAACATTTTCATTTTTCTGCCATTAAAAATTAAACAAGCAAAAAAAAAAATCATTTGAAAGTAATGACACTTTACTGAATCTAAGACGAATGGTTAAAAATATTGTATATATTCAGAAAAGAAAATTAAAAGTGGGGGACTGTGATGTTAATATATTATACATGTATATTTAGATATTAATAAAAAAAAGTGCTAATTGCAAGCTTAAACTAGGGTTATTTTTTCTTCATTTTCACAATAGATTTGCTATATGTTTTCAAATATGATATGAGAATTCATGACAGTTTATTTAATAGATAATTTAGTACCAGTATAAAACAGTCCACTGCACAAACTAATTCTGTGAGCAGGCTGCATGTAAAAATAGGTATCCAAAATAATAAACCGGTACTTAAATTACTTCGAAAAAAAATCCCGATCATTTTCTTCTAAAATATCTTCCGCCAAAAAATGCTTTTGGTATGGAATTTAATGCCCTGTTCACACGACGAGTTTAATTCGCAGTAAATTAATGTGAAGTAAACTAATGCGAATCAAATTAATGCGAATTAAATTGCGTTCACACGACAGCCAATGCGAAGTAAACTAATGCGAATTAATTTTTTTCTTCAACAGTCAGGCGTCAGTAAGTCTATTATGACGTCATTTGTAAATCACGTCATGTATGCAAAGCCATCCTTTGATACATCATGTAGTGGCTACAGGTATTCATTGATTTTAGTGATTAACGTACTTTCCCTCAATTTTTGAACCAAATATAGCACAATTACCTATATATAACCACCAATACGTGTCCTGTGACTTAATTCTGGCCTTACGCATGCGTCAAAATTTAATTCGAATTAGCTTCGCTTAGCGTTCACACGGAGCTAATGCGAAGTAATTTAATGCGCAGTAAATTAATTCGAATTAAACTAATTCGCATTAAATTCTCCGTGTGAACGCTAAGCGAAGCTAATTCGCAGTAACTTTACGTTTAATTCGAATTAAACTCTCCGTGTGAACAGGGCATAATCATGTAGTTTTAACTGAATATAGTTAAATTGGCATTGCAGAATCCAAATTTATTGTTAGAATTAAAAAAAAAAAACATTATGCAGAATTTTTTAAATATAGGTTAAGATAAAAATCTGATCAAAAGTTGTTGACACATATTGATAAGAAATATTTTAAAGAATTCATTTTTCCTATTTCTCTAAAAACATATACATGTACCGGAAGGTCGTCCTATCAAGACTCACTTAATATCTTTTATAAGTTTACTCAGTAGATATATTTCAAACATTAATTTCTTAGTTAGACCGTTATAATCATTATCATTATAATCAAAACTGAGGACAGGCGATATACGTCAATCCTACACGCCTAGCAACATGTATGAATCTAAAAAATTAAGAAAGAAAATTGTATATTTCATGAGTAAATTGCAAGAGAATTACAAAAAGTATTTTCTTACACTGTAATCCATATATTTGTGTTATATTAATTTAACGACGTTCGATCCTGATATTTAGAGTCTTAAACTTTTTTTGCCAAGTATATTTTTAGTTTCTACATACATAGCTTAATTAAAATTCAAATCAACAAACGAGGGTCAATATGCTTCTTTTGGCTATACAGTACATTTAAAATGACCTTTTTGCACTGAAATTTGTGTGTATATTAAAAAATAAATCTTCGACATTTTCCCTGCAATATTTTTATCCAATTAAAGCACGAAACAAGATGAATGCTAAGTCTGTTTAAATAAAGACACTTTAAAATTGTAATTGAGAAAAAGTTTCATATTGCTTCGCATAATCAATAATTGACCTTTCTGCACTAATAAAATTTGATTTTTCTGGCACTGAAAATTTAATAAGCAAAAAAATTATTTTTAATTGTAAACTTTTTTTGAATTTAAGCAAATAGGTCAAAGTTATCTTAAATATTTAGAAAAGAGCATCAAAAGTGGGGGTATGTGATGTTAATTTTCAGATATTACTAAAAGATTGTCAATTTTACGTAAAAAATGACTCAATTTTTCCCCGAATATTTAGAATACATTTACTATATTTGTCACACTTTGTTGATAAAATTCATAAGACATAATTTAATATATATTTCAGAACCAGCATAACACATTTCACTGCAAAAAACAGCTATGTGTGCAACCAGCATGGAAAAATAGGAATCCAAAATACTAGTAAACAGTACTTTTATAGTACAAAAGGGAGAACTAATCATTTTCGTCTAAAAAAACCTCCGCCACAAAATATAGTCCCTCGTTTAATTCTACTTGAATGGAATTAAATCGCGGGTTTTTCATTGAATATAGTTCAATTTGCATTGTAGTATTCAGATTTAATGTTAGAACTAAAAATGATGCAGAATTTTATAAATAAAGGACATGACCAAAATCCACTCAAAAGCCCAGGATCGAACGTCCTTAAGAACCATATGATTATTATCTGATATTTCATTTCTTTTTATTTTTTGGATGTTAACTTTCTGCAGCTGCTTTTTTGCTGATCTATAAATATAATTCCGTGTAGAATACGTTGTTTTCATAAAGATAATATAATTTTACTATTTGATTATACAGTTGTTTTGTAAAAAAGATACAAATTCTTATGTTTGTGTCTCAAATATACTAAGCTTACATGTAGTTAATACAATTATACAACAGGTACTGTTAATTCCCTGTTTTAACCTCCTACTGCGAAATTACTATCTGTGATATATTTAACCATAGCTTTTCTTCTGGAAAAGACCATAAAAGTTCTTTCCCGTAAAAATTGACAGGATAAAAATTCCCTACTACTCAATGGACCCGAGTGCCGGGTAAAGGGCAAGATTTTAACCCCTATATGACTATATGTAGGACTTTCAACTGCCGCTATGGTTCAATGTTATGAACGATAACTCATTGCTGAAACTTGTTTAGAGCAGGTCCGATGTATCTACATGTGTAATTGTTTATACGCAAGTCATTTTCTAGTATTTCCCAAGTGTTTTTTTGCTGTCAGTAGAATGCACATACGCTGCTGAATGCATAATGTAAGCGAACTACTTTCAATGGCGCGGGCTTTTCGAAAAGTTGCAATTGTTGAAGAGTTTCATGTTTCATATCGTTTTCGTCGATGTTATGTCCGTGGTTATATTCTGTTTTGATTTTTAGCAAATTAATAGTATAGTGAATTGGAATTTTAAGAATAAACATGCGTGAAATCGCTTGAAAATGTACACGTATCAGTGTCTCTACATCTTGTTGGGATTAAAGTACTGTTTGTTCGAAACTAAAAGAATGTCTATAAAATACACATGTGCATTATTTTAACTATTCCAGTACTAAATTTTTAAATGATGGAAAAATGCGAGAATTTCTTGGAAATATTATTTATTAAATTTTAAAATCATTACATATCTTGGGGTCTTGACTGTTAATTTTAATTACTGGCATATGCTATATTGTTTAACATCTAAATCATACAAACTCTACCTGTTAAAAACCAATGGTCAAAAGGAAAAAAAAATTAAAAGTATACTAATTACAGATCAGGCAATATACTCGAGCAATTAAAGCCCGGCTTTCAGTTCTTTCAATAGTTTGATTAATATCCGGCTTTACTTTGGACCTCACAGAAATATTGCCTTGAGTTGTGTATCAAATGTATATTGTTTTGTTAAAGCATTGTGCATTTTTTTTTTAAAAAGTGACAAACATGCAAAATGATACTAAAGTCTAAACAGTACATTTTTCTCCTTGTATAACTAACTATAATAAAACAAAACTTTTCTGGAATGTGGATAAAACACTTTTAAAAACATGACAAGAAAAATATATTTGTATATATATAATTTCATTTAAAATTGCACAACTTCAATCTCATAATATTTTAAAAATAAACAAAGATTTACAATTACAATTAAAATATATTTGTATATGTTGATTAAGATATTCATACATGTATTTCTTCAAAATACAATATTTGCTATGCAAGATGCACAAAAAACAGTCCAACATTCTTTTCTAGAAAATGAGACCGAGACTAAATTCAAGGTATCCAAAACTTCAAAGTAACACTATTAAAATGAAGAAAGAGGTAAGAAAAAGTGATAAAGACTTTGAAAATATTTCAACATATTCTTGGTATTCCAAGAATCAGTTTTTGAGATACAAAAACAAGGTTTAATTGTATAGACATATATCAATGTATCTCAAATACTAAGAAACCACGAGTGAATGAGAAAAATTCTGTGATCATAAATATCTAAGTTAAAGATATATATAACTGCAGTCTTTTGACAAGGTCAATCTCTAGAAATATAGACCTTAGAGAAGGCATACATGTAAGGACCAGGCACAAAGATCAATAGAGGAAGAAAAAGCTTTAAATATATTATACTGGTTTCCTTACATATACACATGATTCATTGCATAGGTTCCCAGTGCAATATTACAACTTTTTTGCATCATAGTACCACCAAAGTCTGCAATTTTAAGACTTATTTGACAAATGCACATGCATGACTTATTCTCATTCCTTACTTTTTACTTTTAATTTCAGAAAAGAAAAACAATATTTGAATTATCTTTATTCCAGAGATACTTTTTTTTTTAAAAAAAATCTACTGTACTTTGACATGCAATATTTTGCCATTTACATCCAGTTTAGCTGGTGTCCTTGGTAGAAAATCATATTCTGGTATCCACTCCTGTAGGATTGGATCTGCTGTTTTGTCGTCTGCGGTCTGTTTTTGATTAAAGTGTAGTCCGGCTTCCTTCCAGTTAACAGTCAGGCCCTCGGAATTTCTCAGATTTGGGTACAATGTCCATAACTTGTTGTTCCATGCGTGGTAAATATGCCACATACTCCACATTTCATCTGTCGTACCTTTAAAAATTGTGAAGTTTTCATTTTAATATTCATGAAAGATGGGAGACTTACAACGTACTCTTACATAGAACCTGCCCTGGGGCAAAAAATTAAACAAGATCATTTTTTGATCTCAATCTCACTTTTCCACTATTAATTCCTATTGGAAAAATTAAGACTGATATCAAAAGTGATCTCTTCTAAGTTTTATGGCCCCAGAGCATGATCCTACTATTCCTGTTGGCTTTGCTCCAAGCATTATGCTCTAATGGATTTTAAGCTTCAAATTCATTCTGTTTTACCTTAAGTTTATAAATTTGGAACTTTTCATGTTCATATTTATGAAAAACGGAAGACTAACTCCTTCATGGCACCTGATTCCACCTCTGCTATTTTTAGAAATATTCGTTATAAGCGTATTTTACAGTACACCCTACCTCTCTGGACGGACACTTTCCACCAATGAGTGGGTCGTATCCCTGGGATTAAGGGCTGGAATGAGGGGTCTGTGGACTTTTTCCTGTACCACTCCACAAAGTAAAACCAGTTCTTACGGTGAGGGGAGTAACCCCAGGTTCCTGTAAAATAGTCAAAGCAACGTAGAAAAAGTGAGCAAGCTCACATATCCCACGCTCCCCAAAAACTCGAAGTGCCAAAATTCCTGGAAAAAATAAAGGAATAAGAATTTACTGGTAATCTGCACATCTACACATTGTGTCCTAAATATCTGCAAAGTTTAAACAAATTCTGTGCAGCGGTTTATAAGGAGTTGCGCTGACAAAAAATAGCAGGACTTACGTAACATTTTTATCGAATTTCTGATTGTTTTTAGAGTACACTTTTGAGTGTGTCCCTTCGTATACTGGAATATGGCAGATCCTGAACTTTTTCCTCTTTCTGATTGGTGTTTTTGTTTTCACGTTTGGAAAATGAAACAAGTCAAAGGGTGACAGATCTGGCGAAAATTGTTGGGATGATAAAACATTAACTATCTGTTTATCCCGAAAACTCATCAACTTTACTCTTCATTGCATTTGGGTTCGAACGCTGTCGTGAAGAAATTTAATGTAGTTGATAACTGATTCTGGTTGCATCCTCTCATAAATCTTTCGATTTTGTGTTTACAAAATTTGCTTTCTACACATCTCCAGAAATTGAACTGCTTCCCAGAATATAAAATTGATCGACAAGACCACTAAAATTTAAAAAAAAAAAAGGCATATAAAAATGTTTTTTGTGCTTTTGCAATTCTTTGCTATTTTCAGACCTTGGCTGTTTTTGACGAGTGCACCGTATTGTATATTTGTTTTGAGGGTTGAAAGCAATGGACGCAAGTTTCATTATCCATTTGACTTTCAGGCAAACGTGGAAAACTACAATTTTTTATATTTAAAAATAATTATGTAGTTAATACTGTTATTCTTACACACTGTCATTTTCATTCATTTTTCAAACATAGGGTGACCATTCAGTACTTAGCTTTTTTACTGTCAAATGTTTCTTCAAAACAGTGTAAACTTCCCCAAAATTATGCCTATCAATTTTGCTATGTGTCGTAAAGTCAATCAAACACAATCAGTGATAATTTGTTGAATTTTGGCAAACATTACATTGGTTGTTGTAAGTTCTTGTCGCCAAGGACGGTCCCCCTTTTTGATGTGCATTATATAATTTTTGTTCATTGAAGTCCGCCTTTTCATGTGTCCATAACACAGAAATTGGTTGTTGTACATTTCATAAATCTCTTTGGGATTATTAACGAGTTTCACCGCGTTTAATGAAGCGTTTCATTTCACTCGTTTACTTATTCTTTTCCATTCATTTTTAATGCAGTGTCTCGAATAGCCCTTGATTTCAAGCTTCTCATAATGAAACTACATGTATGATTATTGTGATGAAAAGTGTTCACATAAACAGTAATCAATTAAATAATGATTCAATATTGAGAGACATTATTTATTGAACAGCCCTCGTATTATTCTTAATTAAGATTTTCAAAGATACTAAGCCTACAATCTGTCTTTATTTAAGCGTAAAATATGTCAACTTTGTTTTCAAAGAACAAAGTACGGTATTGACCAAAAAATGCCGGATGTCAATTCAAACCTGTTCCGTTCAAAACATTTTAAAGAGCTTAGAATTTTTAGAATTAAATAATATATAATTTATATACCTGACTCAAAAGTATGCATTGGAAAAATAACGCTCAATACTGTACCTTTTACAGCAGAACGTCGAGATTTTACGAAGAATTTTGACGCGACGTCATACGTTAGTAAGCGCAATCTGAAAATCCTGACTTACTCGCTAGGACACAGTTTATTTTAAATATAAATTTAAGAAATTAAGTTGTTGATTCATTAATACGTCATTGTTGTTTTGTTTTTGCTTTTTTTTTTATTTATTTATTAGCATTATTATATACTTACAATGTAATCATCCACGAAGGTGTCTCCGCTTTAGTTGATGAGAATTATTAAAAGTCTAACAGAGGAACGTGGAGAAAAAGAAATAAACTGTATTTTCTTTTTGATATTTGCTTTCATTTTATTGCAGTGATTATACGCTCTAAATATTTTTAAGCTATTTCTCTAAAATAAATTGAGAAAAATTTCTGTATCAGATCTAGTGAAAAAATATGTACAGATGAAAAAAAAAATCGAAATACTAAAAATTTAAATGACCCCCCCCCCCAAATTCGAGTTTAATGAGTTCTTATCATTTATATATGCCTTCCACAATTTTTTTTTAATAACACATGTAAAATAATACTTGATAATACTGAAAATGACTTATCAGTTAAATGTTTTGATTCAAAAGTTTTGTTTGGTAGTGTTCATCCCTAGGTGCATCATCCGTGGAAGTTTGTATCAACATGTGAAGTTTGATAACATCATCTTGAATGGTATGTTTAAAACTGAGCTAAACACTAATCTAAGAAAAGTGATGTCAAGGTCAAAGGAAAGGTCAAGGTAAAAAAATGTTGATGCAGATGCAAGGCTAATCAATATCTATCAGCATATGAAGTTTGATGAAAATATCTTGGATAGTTTCTTTGAAACTTAGCTTTGAACAGAGCTAAACGCAAAGTGTGACGGAAGGACGGAAGGACAGGACGTAAGGTTGGAAGACGGACATGAAAAACACTATATGCCCCGGCCATATTCATGGCGGGGCATAAAAATATTATTGTGCTTTTTTGTGGCTTGAATTGAGGCCTATGGGATATTTTAATACTGTTGTTCAATAATACATGTACAGCCGACGGACACTAGTATACGAACTTACAAGTGCATACGATGTACAAACAGCATAAGCACAAGCGGCATCTTTAACTACAATTTATTCGTTGTTTTCAAAATATTTTATTAATATTTATAGGTATTTATAGTTTACTATGTCCAGTGATGGGACTTAAAATAAAAAAATCTCATTCTGTGTAAATTAAACGTCATTAGCATCGAATCAGGAACATTGCGTCGGTAGAATATCTTCGTCCATATGCTAACTTTTGTAAAATTCATATTGATCACAGGTGACAACCAACACTATTATAATAGTGTAACTAAGATATGTAATGATGAACTTATATGCGGAATACAAAAGTGGTTGTTGCATGTGAAAGGGTCTAATTTCAGCAAAGATTACAGATTTTTTTAGCATATTTTAACGATTTTGCACCACCATTCGATGTTTAGCGCGTATCAGTGACGTCACAGTTAAAAATTACGTCATTTTTGTACCTGTAGAATTTACTTCGCATCTTCCTTACTTCAATGCATAACATCAAACAATGATACAAAGATGATTAAAATATCGTATTATTAGCGGCGAATTATTAATAATACCGTATTTTGTTCTTTGTATTATTTTTAAGATAAAATTCTGCAGTTGAAAGCATAGCCTTTGTCCTGAAAAATTACAATCAAAGACATTGTATTTAATGCCCCCCTTAAATTATTTATTGATCAATTTTATATTGTTTAAGGTTCCTCTCGAGAATTTTTCACTCATATGGAGACTCTTCCACTTGCCGGTGAAGAGATGCAAATTTTGTCCTTTACTCGGCACTTAGGGCCATTGAGCAGGGAGCTAGGGATCTTTTTCAAGCCAGCACCTACTGTGACACGGCACTTAAGTTTATACGGTCTCATCCGAAGGACCGGTCTCCACGTCCCAACCCCAAATTAAACAGATCATTTGAACATGTTGAAGAACTCGATCTGTGGAAGTTTCAAAACAAACCTAAAATTGGGTACAGGAAGCAGACATCTTCGTCTGGTCCCCTAAGATTCTCGGCGGCTCCGCCATGCTTCATGCTGCGACCCAGTAAAGCATATCCAGCCAGGTTGTCCATGCTGTCATACTTCTGATGGACATTCTTGAGCCAGCGGTAGAAATGTTTGGACACCGTAAGATCATCCTCCAGAATGACAGCGATTTCTTCAGAATCAAGGGCGGGGTTCCAGGTTCCAATCCATTGACCGTATATACCGACATGCTTAGTGTGGTTGTGTACCTTAAAATATAGTATAATGATTCAGTCATGTGTATAATAAATAAAAATTGTTCATTCCTAGTACAGTAAAACTTTCTAGTCTAACCACCATGGATACAGATTTGAATTAATATTTTTTGTATAATATCACGACTCGTATATTTTAATAGCATGTAACACAAAATATTTTTAAAATGTGTCAATCAAACCCATTCGAAAATTTTGAAGTTTCATGCAATAACTTTTAGATGAAATAAGATTTTAAATTTATTTTCGTGTCTATACACCTTTAAAGCATATTCGCTAAAACCATGTTTTACTGTTAGTACACTGGATTAACAATTAGGTGTGGCTGTCAATTTCATAAGAAAGAGATATACCGTATAACGGGTAATTTTTACTGCTGCAATTTTGTTTTCGAATTTTGGTCAAAATAGGGGGATGTAAATTTTTTTACGCGTACATTTTTTACGAATTGAACATGTCCGTAAAAATTAAAATCATCAGAAGTAAAATTTAAGATCAATGATTGTTTACACTTTGAATACGTTTAATTTACGTACAAATTATGTGTTCGAAAACCCGATGTGTGTGTGTGTGTGTGAGAGAGAGAGAGAGAGAGAGAGAGAGAGAGAGAGAGAGAGAGAGAGAGAGAGATGTCTTAAATTATAACAATGTAAACAATTTTATTATGTATAAATTTTTATCATTTACCATTACATACATGTATATACATGAACCATGTGCCCTCCATTTATTCATGTTTTATAAAACACATAGCTAGGCACACCACGTACTTGTCTGCAGTTTACCGAAAACAAAGAGAGACAACTCAAACTACTGTAAACCAATTTTTTTTCGCGACGACTTTATTTCGCGATTAACTAAGGGTAAACTCGTTCGCGACGATCAATTCTCGCGATCAATTCCTTTTTTGATATATTGACACAGAGACATCAAGGACCGGTTCGCGGCGAAAAATATTCGCGATGGCGAAGGCGAGGCTCTCGCGAACCTTGCGAAAATTTCTCGCACACGAATTAAAAGTTAGTTTACAGTATTCTAAAGATTGAGAACAGGTGTATAATCGGAAGTCCTGTAATTATTAAGTTATTATCAGAAATTATGCGTCTCGTAAAAATACCAACAAGTACTGTAAAAACCAGTTAGGTCTAATTAATTAATGAATTGACGATGTTTGTATAATTTAATCAAGTTTATTGAGATTTACCTCTCTGACCCAAATTGTTGCTCAAAATACCAACAGTACTAATTCATATAAAGCCTTCAGAGAATGAGCATAATGGCAATTAGCATTACTTTTAAACATACGATGTTGAAAATTTACACGAGCCTTTTTTTTCAAAATGCACTTTTAATGTCTTAGAATACAAGAATACGCTGATGAATGTAGTGACTCTTCAGGTGTGTGTACATAAACTATATCAAAGGGCATAAGTACCGTTAACTGGTACAATAGACTGCGATCTACAGTGGCGTAGCTAGCGAATTATTAACTGTATTCAGAAAGGCAAGGGTTCTGGGGGCCGCCTTTAGGCCCCCAGCGGGTCCAGGGCAGGGCCCTAGTTGGGGCCCAGGGGGCGAAGCCTCACGCATTTTAAGGGTTTTTTTGCATTAGAAAACTGCCTTAAAATAGTTCAATTATTGTAGTTCTAATATACTAAATATTAACGAAAACTTGCCGAGTTTTGACAATACTTACAACTCCCCAAATTTCCTTTTTCTAAAAGCATTTCTTGTTTTCATGAAATAAGTCAATAAAATTTCAACAGTGAAAATCTTGTAATATGTGTGGGACTCCAAACTCACAAAACTTTGACTTTGTGAGGTTGCTATAACTCATATTTTCACAATAATTTTTCACAAGAACATTTCGTTTTTTTGTAAAGTTGGCTAATTTTTCGAACTTTTTTCTCCTTTTAGTTTAGCAACTTTTTAATCATATTACAAAAAGCTATTTTGAAATTTACTGACGAAAGAGAATTTATTATGGACTTCAGGGACATCTTGGAAAAATGTTATAGTAATTGCTATAAAATTTATTTCTCAATTAACCCTGTTTAACCAATGATAAGCGCAAAATGATTTCTATATACAGGTATATCACCACAAAAAACTTGAATACTCAAGTATTCTCAATTTGTTACATGGTACAAATTAATTATTTTGATATAACATGTAAAGTACATATACAACGCAGGTACCTTTGGTTTAAAGAGATCATTAGGGGAATTGGTAAATAACATACGAGTACATGTAGTTTGGATTATTATTTGCTTTTGCTTGAATTGACACAATTAAGAAATTGTTCCTCGAAATTCTAAAAAAAAAAAACTAAACTATGTACATGTATACTCTGTATCAAAGATCTTAGATAGAAGCTGAATATATTCTTTTCATCTAATTAGCAGGTACTAGTAATATTGGATTAAAATATCTTTTAATATAACTTATTTTATTTTAATTTTTCATTGAACTTACGTCAATTTTTTCTTTATTTTTATTTTTTGGTGAAAAATCTGTGTATTCATTTGCGTTTTTGCGTAAAGGGCGCTACGCCACTGAATTCTATTGCCCGGTCAATAGACTGCACGTTCTATTGACCGGAATCGTATTTCGGAAAAAAACGATCCGGGTTTCAAATTTAGTTGTTTGTAACACTGCACAGACATGGTAAACAATCATCTTATTCGATCTTTCGACATTGGTTTTAGAAATTGTGTGATTTCAATGGTTGGATATTTTATTTAATGAGAGTTATTTTTAATTAATACAATGTGGGACGTGGAGACCTGTCCTTTGGGTGAGATCTATCAACCGAGGTCCCGCGTCGCAGTAGGTGCACTGCTGGCATGGAAAAGGTCCCTCTCAATCGGCAAGTGGTGGCGTCTCCATATGAGCGAGAGGAATGTAAACAATAGTCTATTCAATCAATCTTTAATTAATATTAAAGATGAACCATATCTAGGTATAGATTTACAATATGGTACGGGAACCTTCTGTACTGAATATACAATTATATTGTGAACACTTAATACGGAAAATAAAATTAGGTAATAAAACAATTATTTAATGCCTTAACGGTTAATAGACCAGAAAATTTTTCCCTCGGTGCAGGGAACAGCTCAGTGTGTTCTATTGCCCTCGGCCGCTGGCCTCGGGCAATAGAACACACTGAGCTGTTCCCTGCAGCGGCCGAGGGCAATAGAACACACTGAGCTGTTCCCTGCACCGAGGGAAAAATATTCTGGTCTATTGTATGCTCAGACATTAAATAATTGTATACTACTGGATGTAGTGGTTAAAGCTTCTGCTCTAGAGCCGCAAAGTAAGGAGTTGATCCTTATGTTGAGGGTTCGAATAGCACTGTGGAATGTAAAGCCAGGTCCTTCAGATGAGACGATATAAACAGTCTCCTGTGTCGGAGTAGGTATTGGCACAAAGACCCCTCACTGCTTAATGGACTTAATTGTCGAGTATAGGACAAAATTTGTAGCTGTCTACCAGCAGGTGGTGGTGTCTCCACATGGGTGAAAAATTCTCAAGAGGGATGTCAAACAACATATTTATTACAATCAATCAATCAATCTTAGTTTTGAAGTATAAGATCCAAAATCAATAATACTGTACTCTTACCCTGTATTCTCCATGTTTAAACTTAAATTTTCTGGCTGTGCTAAACGTCCCATCATGAATCGAACCATCCTTTTTAGATCTATCAATCCACACATCTAGAATAACCTTGTCTTCAAAATATTCTGCCTCATTCAGAGAATTCAGGAGTCGTTTCAAGGAATGGGGTCGATTGAAAACTACGACTATGATTCGAAAGTCTGGGTAATCTGAACTCCTTTCGGCTAGAGGTTCTCCATTGCATCTAGTTGTATTAGCCCCTGTGCTTTTCTTTAAAGAGGATAGGCTATTTCGTGGGACTTTCTGTGTAAATGGTAAAGCAGATTTCTAAGACTAAAAAATAATTTGGGAAGAACTACATAAAAAATATTACTTTAGATATTACGTCAGGGAAAATTAATTCTTTTGAACATTAGCAAATTTTAGCTAGTGATTTTTTTTCACTAGCATTATTGAACTCTCATGGTAATAAACATAGGAATATTTCGATTGACTTAAAAGAAAACTAATTTAACAAAAGGCCAAGGGGTCAAATCACTAATCTGAGTACTCTGGCTAGGAAAAGCACAAATCATTTAGTATCAAAAAGCTTAAATGCATGAGTGGTCCTGACCTACCTCTAAAAGGTAGAAGGGGTAAGGGGTATGGGATACAATTTGAACAAACTTGAATCTACACTATCTGAGGATGCTTCTAAAATAACATGACAAGCCATGGCTTTAGTGTTCTTCAGAAGAAGATTGTTCCTATATACTAGTACTCCTATGTTAATCTTTGATCATCCATTGTGGCTCTACCTTATGCAGGGGGTCAAGATTTTGAACAAACTACCTGTGGATGCTTTCTCATAAATATGGACAATCATGTCTTTGGTGCTCTCGAGAAGAAGATATCTGAAGATTGTTCTTATATTCTCCTAGCATGTTAAACTTTCATCTTTTACTGTGACTCAATCCTATCCCCAAGGATCATTTGAACAAACTTGAACTACATGCATACTACCTGTGGATGCTTTCACATACGAGGGGTGATAAAAAATTCGCAAACTAATTGAATAACTTCCACATAAGAAACAATATTTGGTTTTAATGTTGATTATATTTTAAATTAATCCTACCCGATTTTAATGCACATCAACCACCGTTCTGCGCATGCGCGAATCACGTGATATTGGCGGTCACGTGACCCCCTCCGTAGCGTTCTGTCACAAAAGTTAAAAGATTTTTCCGAGTTTTATATTTCTTTCCATGTGAGTTAATTTTTATGACAAGAACAGTTAATTTGTCAGAAATGGTCATATCTCGGCAACAGAATGGGTGGATAATAACATCCTTTCCAAAAATAAGCATGGCGACCATTAATACACAAATCTTCTGTCTCAGGAGAGACCTTTATTCAAGGTGGATAGAGAATGGGTGCATCCTTTTTATCATATCTAATATGTTTAAAATCTAAAGTAAACGATATCTTAGGTATTTAATACTTATATATCATTGTTCAAATATTGAACTATTTTTCAAAGTGCTAATTGGAGGTCTTTGATAGCAAATTGCTTAATTAAAAATACATATCTTTTCAAACTTGCTTTCACTGGGCAAGATGACAAGTATCATTTTTAACCATCAGCCTTCCTTCACTAAAACGAATAAATTCAATCATTAATTAAATGTATAGGAACTCATTTATCTCAATAAACTGTGTACAAATTATTATATGATACTGTAGAGGGATTTCTAAGATATTACAATAAATTGTACAGTCGTTTGTTGAACGAGTTCGACTGAGACAACCATTTTTAGTCACAAGTGACCAAAATAGTGACGTCATTTTCACATTGTGACGTCACAAACAAGGAGAGAAACTTTATTCAGCATATGCTATTTATAGACCTTGTGTATGGCTACATGTATGTGTGTACCGAATTTCATTCTAATCTGAATTGTGGTTTTGTAGATATAGAGATAGTTTGCGAACTTTTTGATCACCTCTCGTAAATTTGACCAACCATGGCTTTGGTGTTCTTATGAATGAGATTTATAAAAAAAATTCCTTATATAAATTCCAATGTTAAATTTCGATCATCCATTGTGGTCCTACCCCTCCACGGGGGTCACATTTTGAATAAATTTGAATCTACACCACCTAGCAGAGGATGCCTCCATTTAAATATGACCAACCATGGCTTTGATGTTCTCGAGAAGATTAAAAAATTTCCTAAATATTCCTATGAAAACCCTTGATCGTCCATTTTGGCTTAGCCCTATCCTCAGGACTCATGATTTGTACAAACTTGAATCTACACCGCCTGCACAACTAATAGTCTATAGTTGAAAAGTCAGGGTGACTTAAGGTTATTCTTTTTAAAAATAAAGTTGAAAAATTAAATTATTAATAAAATTGTAAATGTATTTTTTGAAAATCACAGAACACCTTTCTTCTAGTTGATAAAGTGATCGTAAATAATTAACTGTGATATTTAGATGTATTTGCCTTAAATGAAGGAATGGAGTAAATTCGGATTAGAAAAAAAATGATTGTTTTCAAAAACCCGTGCTTTTAGCATTCCCGCTCCTATGTAAAATATGTATGGAAAGCCTTGCCAAAAAGTGGTCAAGGCACGGACACGGCACGGGGTATTGGCTGCACTATTTAATTTAGATCACATGGTTTAACAAAATCCGTATCAAAAAGCCGTGCTAGTTTCCATATATGGACTCGATCGCGGATTCTGAAAACCCGTGTCTGAAACCTATGTCCTATTCCATATACGAAGACACTGATTTTTGGAAACCCTTGTCAAAAAACCCTGTGTGATATGCCATATATGGAGTCACAAGATCTGTGCATTTGTCAAGATCTAGGTCAGGGCCTTTACCAGGTCCAGTCCAAAGACTATTTCTACCTACATAGCTATAAAACCTACCCAAAGTAGCTATTTTTACCTACTTTTTGTATTTTCTGCATTTTATGGCCAAATGCATGAAAGGCGCAACATGGTGGGCACATAATTCCTTGATACAGTCAGACTGATGACGGATATATGACAAAAATTTGGCCAAAAAATGATTACTTCGTATATTATCAATTTTGCACAGAAAGTAATGTAAAATTGCCGATTCAGGTAGTAATCATTTTTTTGACCAAAATTTTGTTGTATTCATCATCAATGTGATTGTATCAAAATATATGGTATTCGCCATGTTGCGCCGTTTGGTCTTTTGGTCACAAAATGCAGATAATATAAAAAATAGGTAAAAATAGCTACTTTGGGTAGGTTTAAATACCTACGTAGCTATTAATAGCTACGTAGGTAGAAATAGTCTTTGGACTGGACCTGTTTAGAGAAATTCTCCTGATGTAATTGTTAATGTCAAAATAGTGACTGAAACCATTTTTTTAAACTTCACAATGCTTTACATCTATGCTTTGTTTTAGAATTTTCAAAGTTAAAAATCTTATATGAAGGTGTCCATTTATTTTCTGTTAAAGATTATCAGTTACAATCTATGCAATTTTCTAATTAAAAAAATCAAGTATAATTTAATCCTAATAGCTAAGTTTGCACAATCTAAGAAAGAAATAAATTTAAATAAAACTTTCTATAATCACTGTTATGATGACACATAAAATACTGTATACATGTATAGGGATTATTAAGTCCCACTTAAGTCAATTTAAATAAAGACTATTTCAAAACAGCCTTACTCAAAGTGCATAACGATATCCTTCAGTCACTAGACAACAACTGTGTCACTGTTCTTGTGTTGCTTGACCTGTCAGCAGCATTTGATACGATACATGTAGATCATACCATACTACTGAGCCGTTTGGAAAACCTCTACGGAATCAAAGATAACGCCCTTTCCTGGATATCAGCGTACTTTAAAGGTAGACAACAAACTGTTTGTGTTGAAGGAGAGCTATCCGATCCAGTTATTATGAATTTTGGTGTTCCACAGGGATCCGTATTGGGGCCGAAATACTTTACAATGTATACCAAGCCAGTAGGTGCTATCTGTGGTAACCATGGTCTAGTACATCACTTTTATGCTGATGATTCACAACTGCACATTTCATTTAAACCCATAGACATTGTGTCCAAATCTGAAGCAATAAACCGCGTAGAGTCCTGTCTAACGGGAATCATTATGTGGATGAATGGAAACATGCTAAAACTGAACGCTGAGAAAACAGAAGTGATGTTGTTTTCTTACAAAAATAATCTCAAACATGTCGAAAATATGACTATCATGGTTGGTGAGGCATCTATTTTAGCTTCAAATGACAGCATCAGAAATCTTGGCTCTTACTTCACACCACAAATGGACATGGAAAAACACGTCAACATTGTCTGTAGATCTGCCTACCACCAGCTGAGAAACATCGGACGCATACGGAAATACCTTACAACCGATGCCATAAAAACATTAGTTAATTGTCTAGTAACATCAAAGCTTGACTATTGTAAGTCGTTGCTCTTCGGTATTCCAAAATTGACAATGAATAAACTACAACGGGTTCAGAACACAGCTGCCAGAATCATCACAAAAACTCCTTGTCATGACCATATAACACCAGTGCTCAAGGAACTTCATTGGCTACCAATATGTCAACGGATCGATTACAAGGTCCTACTATACACTTACAAGGCTCTCCATGGACAGTGCCCACAGTACATTAAAGACTTATTGTGTGTGTACCGACCATCTAGAGACCGTCGTTCTAGCAGTTCTTTAACACTTGTAGTACCACGTACCAGAACTGTGACATTTGGAAACCGTAGCTTTAGCCATGCTGCACCAAGGTTATGGAACGCACTGCCAGAGTCAGTTAGAAACGCCCAGACACTTAACGCTTTCAAAAGACAGCTTAAAACATACCTTTTCCGCTCCTATTATGTTTAGTAACTGGAGGTATTAACAATCATAAGACATTGGATTGTTATTGAGTGGAAAGTGATGCTATAATGTGATATTTACACATCAGCGCATTTATCTTTTTTAAAGTTTTAACTTTCTACTATGTTTTTCATGCAAACTTTTTAACCTAAGTTTTATTTGTTCTTATAATTTTCTATTTTAAAGGAATATAAATTCTTTATTACAAACTCATCGAAACTTGTATTAAGCAGCTTTAATCTTATTTTATGTTATATCTGTGCTTAATTAATTCCTATAGTCTTATTAGCTTTTTATGACTGGTTTTTGAATACACATTTGAATACACATTTGTATATGTTATTCTTAGGTAGAGTTATTGTTTTTAATTTCGATTTGTATCACTGTATTGTATTGCTATATCTTGTTTGTTGTAAAGCACTTTTGAACATGTCCATGAAAAAAGCGCTATATAAATCTGGTAAAATAAAAATAATAAATAAAATAAACATACATTGTCAACACTGCAATAGAGAAAGATAATGAAAATTGCCAAATTTACTTATTTATTGTATATTACACATATTTCATTTAGTTCAGATTGTACAATGGGAATATACATGTATACTTGAAAGGATTAAGTTTAAAATTAAATTTGAAACTTTCATGTACTCCCTGCCAATTTAAAATACCAGTCAGTACAGGTATATTTTGAAATACTTTTGTTTCATTACTGTTTTTGGTTTTTGTTTTAAGACTGAAAGTTTAGTGTTACGATATACATTAAATGTTAATTAAAATATAATGAAAATACTTAATATTGATTTCGGGAGAAAAA